GAGAGGGGCAGGGAAAAGTGATGATCGTTGACAAGACGGATGGACACAGTGGCTGCAACAATGGGCTCAAACATAACCATGTGAAGACGCTGCTAGACCGGTCAGTGTCTCCTTCTGTTGGGCACAGGTTGGCTCTGAGTCCAATGGGATTTGAGGGCACTTGACAGCAACAGACAACCAAGGAAGAAAGAGCAGCTTCGCCCGCATGGAATTTGCCTGGGTGTGCCTTCAATGAAAATCGGGGTGCCTGGCCATATGGTGCTGTATTAGTCTAGGTACTTTGGAGAAACAAATCCACAGCAACTCATGTATAAGAGAGAGTTTTATGCAAAGAAAATGTGCATCGCGAAAACATCCCAACCCAATGCTGCCCAAGCCCACAAGTCCAACATTAACCCATACCCAACACCAGTCCACAAAGTCCTTCACCTCACAAAACAGAGGCAATAATGCCGACTGCAGGAGGAAAGCTGAGTCAGTGAACGCGTAAGCATCTCAGCACTGGCAGGGGTCTCCACACGGCTGCTCCAGCACCCAGGGCTGCATCGGGATAGATCCATGCGGCTTCTCCTTGGGGACGTCTTGTAGGAAGTCAATCTTGCAAGCTGAAGCAGGGAACTGCTAAGGCAGCTGCACCCGATGCAACCATCACAAAACAAGAGACCCGAGAACTAGAAAGGCGAGGCTTCACCACCCATTTATCCCTCCGCCTTTCAACCAGACCCACATGTGATTATCGGCCAGGCTGGCACAATTAACTAACTCAGGTGCTGAGTCATCAGAGTCTTGTTAGCTCATCTAAGCTGCAATGGTCTGCATATCCCAATCACATCCTTTTCCTGGCCGGGATACATTGTTCTATCGCCTCTCAGACCCCCCACCTTCCTCACATTATGTCATGACCAATCCTCCTCAGGGAACGGGAAAACACGAAAATTTAACAGAAGGGAGCTTGAGATGAAAACTAGGTAAAGCCTACGAGAAGTGGATAAAATTTCTTCAGCTGGGCTGGACACACACACAGTCTATATTTTAAAAAATCTATGTCAATATGAATTTTCTGATATCACAGGCAGAAAAAATACACCTTTTCCCCACCCATGACTCCAATCCCCTCCCACCCCTGTGGATGTTAAAATTAGCTCCTAAAAATGCAAATGTTTTCCTTGGAATCCTATGGATATATATAACTTCCTCGTTTGGAAGTGTACAAAGAGGACTGTACTCTGCTGTTGAGGCGGGGTGCGGCTCTACCTGAGCTTTGCCTATCTGAGTCCCTTGCCTGTATGCTCACAATCAAAGCTCCCATCCACCTTCCTCATCTGAGTTTCTGCTTCAATAAACAGAGAAGCCACAGAGGTGAGAACCTCCGTAACCCCAAATTAATCCACATGATGATTTCTTCTGTTTTCTATCATCTACAATTCACCCCATGGCCATGCATCAGCCGGCTCCGTTGGTCTCTGTACTAGGTACATGCTGATGATTTCCCTCATCTGGGATGATTGTCCTTGTTTTGTCTTTGCCTTGTTTAAGGCTCAATCAAGGATCTTTATGAAATATCCTTGAATCTAGGGTCCTTTCCCCCTAGCACAGTATTGTCTATGACTCAAGGTTGCATGATCATGAGCCATATCCAAACCACCATGTAGTCATGTCACCTGTACCTCCGAAACAATCCTGTAACCTGTATGTATGTTACAATCATGGTCCCAGCCCTGCTTCCACAGTCCCACCTGAGATAATTGACCTCCCCCAGTCATAATCTTGTGATGGTTATCTCTGTCCTCTATTATGAATAACGAATACCAGGACCGGTTCATCGTCTCCATGGGTCTCTCTTCTGTGTCCATGCCTATGGTCTCTCTCATCTGGATGATCATCTTGCTTTTTGACTTTGTCTTGTCTAAGGCTTAATCAAAGGGTTTCTCTAGGACAGTTTTTATTCTGAGGTCTTGTTCCCTAACACAGAAGCCTACCTCTAAATTATTTACACCACCCAAGACCAAACCAATTACTGTTGAGTTGATTCTGACTCATGGTGACCCCATGTATTTCGTAGAACTGTACTACAAACGGTTTTCAATGACCATGACCTTTCAGAAGTAGCTCATCAGGCCTTTCTTCAAAGGGGCCTATGGAAGGATTTGAACTGTCCACCTTTCCGTTTGTAGCTGAGCTCTTAACCACTTGTACCACCCAAACCAAACTCCGTGTCACCTACTTGATTTCAACTCCTGCTATCCTATATAAGCCTAGCAGCTGGGAGCTAATGTTACCCTATTGTTCTGTTAATTCATTGTGGTGGATAACTTCCCCCTTTAGTTTTTTTTTTTAATTTATTTTTTAGAACCAAAAAGCAGCACTCAGAAGACA